TAGCAAGCTAGATGGGCATTAAAACGTCTATTAAATGTATATATAGTATTCTATTAAGAAGAATATTATATACTTTTGTAAAACTCTTTACCATCACATTATGAACATCCCCTGATTGACGGGTTTCCACCAGGCCATGCCATATTTTCTTTGTTTATTTCGAATTTTCGCGCAAAAATTCAAAAGGGTTGTCTGTGCTAGCAGTTCCAAATTTTAAACTGGTAGATGTCTCTTGTTTCTTTTTTGAATTTCGCGCAAAGCTACACGAGGGCTATCTACGCTAGCCGTCCTTAATTTAGCAGTGTAAGACTAGAGGGAAGGTAGCTAGTTATCACCACCCACAGCCAACTCTTGGGCTACTCTTTTACCAACGAATAGTGGGATTGACCGTCACATTATAACGCCCCCACGGCTGAAAGGGCGAGCATATTTGGTGTGAGAGGGATTCGAACCCGCGACCCGCAGATTGCGAGTCGAGTGCCTTAACCACCAGGCCATGCCGGGCCTAAACTGGTAGACTAGAGGAAGGCAACTAGTCAACAGTACCCACCGCTAACTTTAACCGAATAGCGGGATTTAATCACTTTTATAACCCACTTATGGCATCAAAGCGAGGAGCGCCATTTCTTTATTTTTTTGGCAACGGGACGAGAATTATTGACCCTCAGATTTACTGTTTAGTACGTGAAGCACTAGGCTACGTCTGGCCTAAATGCCTTTTAGTAAAGCATGTGAAACTACAATATGAAAATTTTTATCGGTATAAATTTTAAGGAGTTAACTTGCAAGCAGTAATTTTAAATCTAAAATTGAGAAATTCATCCACAAGTTATATTTTGTATACTTGTTTTTGGCATGCAGTACGTTTTTCTGTGTTACGTTATAATGTGAATGGACTTACCATTCTATTCTGTTAATTATACCGTTACAATAATTGTATGTTTAATTCACTTGTGAAATTATATTATTACTCTTTTCCCTCTTCTTTCCACGACTGACTACTCGGTGGTATTCGATATCTTTAGACTTTTTGCAGTGTTTTAATCTAACTTTATATAACTTCGTGCTACAAAATAAAAGCACAGTTTTTGTTTAGTCATTTATAAGTACGTTATATCAATTCTCAACTAAACAATTCTCTTACATAAAGTACTGTATAAAAAGTTCCGTTAAAATAAAAGATGATACTACAGATAACCCACTACTATAAATGATAATGTTACTATTGTTATAAACAACATATATTACAGTTCGATTATTTGTTTTTTTTTCCACGCAAGTAGTTTGTTGAATTTTAAAGCAAAGTGACCCAGAAAAACTCAAACGATGTTTCAAACCCCAATAATGCCAATTGGAAAAGTAAAAGAAGCATACGATTCGTCTTGGATTTTTTTGTTTCACTAAAGCTTGCAATAATTTTATCATTTCTTCTATCATATCAAATAAATGTAAAATTCGCCGTACGAATTACATGCGATATTCTAAGTTAATAGCAGTTGGTATAAATGCCATATCAGTGATTCTCAAACTGTGGTACGTCCCACTGGCGGTATGAACAGCACGCAAACAAAATTAATATAAAAAGTATAAAAGCTGCAAAGGCTTCATTGATCTTTCTTCCCATCTAATTTACAATAATCACAACATACATTCTTCAAGTTGATTGTGCCAGAAAAACAATTACACCCTTCCCAGCGATGGGTAAGTGTTAAGGGCATTAATTTTTACTAGTTTTTTCTCTTATTTTTAATAAGGCCTGGGTTTGTACTTCAAAAAAAAAAAAAGGTTTCAACAGAAAATGGCACTCGAGCCTGGAGATATCGAGAACAATTGCACTAAATGAAAGATCGACCTTGCAATAATTCCATCTTAAGCCTAACCGCAAATTTTATGTGTACCTGTGCCTAATTACAAAGATCGGAGTTAAATATGCGCAATATTACACTCTAGAAAGCAAATTATACCATTTACAAATGTTTATTTTCTCGGTATTTCTATTATATGACCTTGGCGTGACCTCATAGACGAAACTGAATGGCAGATAATACTAAGTGATCATATTAATATCTTAATTAGGAGGTTTGATATTTTACTATACACGACCATTCACTTTAAATTAACCTTGTCAGCGTCATTTTTATCTAGCAATTAAGCTAACCATTTAAATACCGTATTAAAATTTGGTTTTGTCATTTTAGTTATCGACAGCAGCTAATTAGTTTTTTGAAAACTAATGAAAACAGACTTGTTCCTCAAATTCTGGTTAAATATAATAACATTTAACGTAAACTATGTCAAGGGCCAGAACTGTTTCCGTATTTCAAAAATATAAAATTGTTTTAGAACTAAGCCTTAATCGTAAAAACAAACGTGTATTCAACGCTAGTTGCTTAGTTTCTTGAGAAGCGCGCTGGAAAACATAAAATTAAAAGATCAAGCGTTTCATAAATCATTTCAGTTTTTGTGGTTTACAATTAATTCAGCTACTTTGATAGAAACCTGTTAGTAATTTGTTTCACTTTTTTTTTTCCATTTTCCCCGTCAAATATGCGAGTTTTTTTGTAAGCAATTTTAATTTGCAACAATCAGTGCACATAAACAACAATAAAAAAAGGTAAAATCCTTGACGAAAGTCTTGTTTGTTCGTGGTAAAAATACCCTGCTTTGCAATGTCTGTCTGTCGTTTGAGTTCCGTAGTTAACACGTTGGGTTGAAAATTAACCTCGAAAAGTAGGCACATCTGGCAGACTTTACTGTATGAAACGGGTCGGGGGACAAAGAAGATGTAGGTGCAGGTACTGAAGAGGAGCTTAAAACCTTGTAAACCAGTAAAGCGTAGGCGCAATAATCGGTGAAGCGTATCCACAGCAATAACCCACACGAAAAACAGATTTACTTAATAAAACACGTATCCAAACAATTATAAGGATTTGTCTAGCAATGCTATTTTTATAACCTAGCGCCTGAAGAACTGCGATTCCTTATTAAACACTCGGTTTGAGTTTCTAGTTTTGTTCGTATATGTACGTTAAAAATCCCACGTGTTATGCATGTTTCTATGTAACTTAACAGGGCCGTCGGATGGGGGGGCATCTGAGACATTTTGCCTCCCAAATTCCCCCCAAAAACTCAGATGAAAAACAGTGAATGGGAATCATAAAAGCCACCCCCCGTCTTGATAACTGGCATTTAGTGGGGGTACTAATTCAGAGGTACTTTTACCTTAAATATTATTAACAAAATGGCCCTTGTGGAAAGGAACTCCATATTTAACTCCACCCTAAACTCTGGATGGCCAGTGACTTAATAACTACAGTAGCTATTATAAATACCACTAGTTATACGTTTTAAATAAAAGTCTAGATAAAATATACTTTTGTAACTGAGAATTACAGTAGCCAACTCAAATACTTAAAGTGAACCAAAATATTAATCATTGCTTTCATTATTCTAAATACATAAAAAGTATAAAAGAACCTAATTTAATAAATTTAGAAATAGAATTGTCACAAAAAACGACTATACTTTGAACCAAGTGGTTACTAAAATCAGCATTATATAATAATACAAGTACAACAGTTAATAATCTAGATGTAGACAAAAACATACAGTAGTTAAGACATATGGTCCTAGCAAGTTAACCACTTTAATATAGCCAAGAACAAAATACAGTCATAACTAATTCTGCTGGTGAAAACTTGGGTCACTGTGCATCTCTTAGTAATGTTCAAAGCCTACTGAAGTGATTGAGTAGTTCAAGAACTTTTTAATGAATTCCATTCTTCAGCACCTGACAATTACTTATATATTGGTGAGTGAGTAAAGAAACTTTGGAACTTCAATGAAACATCTCAAGATATTGCCCATAATGCCTCAAATGAACAATAAATTTCCTCAGTCATGCACCAATTTAAAACTTTTAACAATAAAAGTATTTGTCATTCTTACCTAAATTATGACCAAAATTTACAAAGATCCTCTAATACCCAATAGTTGGTAATTAAACAATCAGCTCTTTTCTTTCCAACTTCCTATTTTGTTTAGCTTTAATATCCACAAAAACTATTCCTGTAAATAATCTTTGAAATATCTCAATGTCATACCTAAGTGTTGTTAATATTTTTGTCAAAAAAAAAAACATTTGCTGCTTACCTTTGTAGTACCTGTTGCTTTAGATTCTGGAGAAACTTGTTTGTTAGTTACTTGAACTGCTATATATGGATTGTCGATCAACGGCCAAGCTCCTAATGTTCTGCACGTCTGAAATTCATCATAAAAAGTTCGAAGATGTGGATCCCCAAACAGTCCACAATGACTAAACTTTACTGGACCAGAGTGACTGCTTCTGAACTTACATTTTGAAGGGACCAACAGTTTTGGCTTCAAGGGTTGTTTCTGTGGATGCTCTGGCATTTCTTTTGCAGTGATAATAGTGCAGTTTTTTTTGTCTAACCACTGCATTACCAGTGTGTATATTGAATGGTAACTTAGATCACCACGACAACTGCGGGCTGTGGCCCTGATGCAATCAGCATAACTACGTAAAACTGTACAATAGTGGTAGCGCGAATAACTTAGATCTTCTAAGGGTAAGTCTGTCTGAGCCTGGATGGCACGTCTAAACTGGATCGAACACAACTCAACCCTACAAGAGGAGGCAGCTGGAAAAGATGTAATAGGTCCTCAAATATGACATACACAATTCACAGGCTGTAACTGGTGTTTGTATCATAAAGTTTCATAATATAAAGTTATCTAACAACCTAATCTTGATCTACAAGCCAAGTTTGTGAAATTATGCCCATTACTTGCTCTGTAAATCCAAGGATATTATAAAAGAAAACAGTTATATACGATGACATTAATGATAAATACATTAATAAAGTATCTGGTATGTCCTTCTGTACTTAACCTAACAATTTCTTTTAAAAGGG